CTGGCAGCACACGGACTGGCAGCATTGGGGGCGACAGCAGCTGGACTCACAGCACCTGGGGCGGCAGCAGGTGGGCTGGCAGCACACGGACTGGCAGCACTGGGGGCGGCAGCAGCTGGACTCACAGCACCTGGGGCGGCAGCAGGTGGGCTGGCAGCACACGGACTGGCAGCATTGGGGGCGACAGCAGCTGGACTCACAGCACCTGGGGCGGCAGCAGGTGGGCTGGCAGCACACGGACTGGCAGCACTGGGGGTGACAGCAGCTGGACTCACAGCACCTGGGGCGGCAGCAGGTGGGCTGGCAGCACAAGGACTGGCAGCACTGGGGTCTGCAGCAGCTGGACTCACAGCATCTGGGGCGGTAGCACGTGGTCCTGCAGCAGGTGGTCTGGCAGCAGCTGGGGCGGCAGCAGGTCTCCTGGCAGAGGCCTTGGCCACAGCCCTGGTCAGAGCAGACAGAGCCACAGTAGGAGCTGACCATGGTGTCAGAGGGTGGAGGTTCTGAGTGGGTTTCCAGGAGAGTGAGGTTCTTGAGTTTGGGAGTCTCCTTGTGCCACAGCCTCTTATATATTTTCTGAATAGAGTGAGTTGTTAACACATTTTCCTTGTTTTTGTTTACCTAATATGTAACTAATTATCAGAATATACAACAATGTATTTAATGGCTTTGACTTTTTTGAAACAAAATTTCTTTTCCAGATATGATTAGTTCTATCCAATCTGCTTTTCTTTCTGATTAAACCCACTGGCATCTTCTAGACCACACTCTTGTCATCTTCCTCCAAAGAGGACTGTCATGTGATATTCGGCCTTTGAAGTTATATTTCTTGCTCTCCCCTCCTGTATCTCCCACGAGGGTGGGACCTGGGAAGTCATATTTCTGACTGTGCATTTCTTCCAATGACCAATGGAATAGAAATTCCATCTACATAGTGTGACAGCATGCATGGGACATGAGGAAAAGGCCCTATTTTGTGGGTCATTTCTGAGCAATGATGAAGGGACAGCTCTATGTGTATGACATTGATAAATGGATGGATTTCCTTGGATATATCAAACTTTGGATCATATTCTATGTCCTAAAACCCTGGCAGACAGTTTATCTGTATGATTCCTGCTATTACCAGGTCACAGAGTTTATTAAGTTGTTACTGTGCTATTTAAAATATTTGTGTCACATTTCTCCAGCTGGTTTCTTAGATTCTGGAAGGCGTAGCTTCATTTTTATCCTTTATGTCATTAATTAAAAATATTTCTTCAAGGGCTTAATTTCTGGAATATTCAAACAGCTCATAGAACTCAATAACAAACAAACAAACAAAAAACTAAATAAACAATCCAATCCAAAAATGGGCAGAAGTCCTAAATAGACATTTTCCAAAGAAGACATCCCAATGGCCAAAAGACACATGGAAAATGCTCAGCATTGCTAATTATCAGAGAAATGCACATCAAAACTACAATGAGGTATCACTTCACTATTGGTCAGAATGGCCATCAATAAGAAGTCTACAGATGATAAATGCCAGAGAGGGTGTGGAGGAAAGGGAACCCTCCTACACTGTTGGTAGGAATGTAATCTGGTGCAACCACTATGGAAAACAGTATGGAGATTCTTTTAAAAATTAAAATAGAGTTACTGTATGACCCAGCAATTCCACTCCTGGGCGTATATCCAGAGGAAACTAATTCAAAAAGCTTCATGCACCCCAGTGTTTATAGTAGCACTATTACAATAGCCAAGACATGGAAGCAACCTAAATGGCCATCAACAAATGAACAGATAAAGAAGATGTGAGATACACACACACACACACAATGGAATATGACTCAGCCATAAAAGAGAATGAAATAATGCCATTTGCAGCAACATGGATGGACCTAGATATTATCATCTTAAGTGAAGTAAGTCAGACAGGGAAAGACAAATATCATATGATATCACTTCTATGTGGAATCTAAAAAATGATACAAGTGAACTTATTTACAAAACAGACTCACAGATATAGAAAACAAACTTATGGTTACCAAAAGGGAAAGGGGGTGAGGGATAAATTAGGAGTTTGGGATTAGCAGATACAAACTACTATATATAAAATAGATAAACAACAAGGACCTACTGTGTAGCACAGGGAATTATATTTAATATCTTATAATATCCTATAGTGAAAAAGAAAATATATATATATATATATATATATATGTGTGTGTGTGTGTGTGTGTATAACTAAATTACTATGCTGCACATCAGAATGATTAAAAACTCTGAACACAGTTGGTATAGAGGGAACATACCTCAAAATAATAAAGGCCATTTATGACAAACCCACAGATAACATCATACTCAACAGGGAAATGCTGAAGGCTTTTCCTCTAAAATCAGGAACAAGAAAAGGATGCCTACTCTCAGCACTTTAATTAAACATAGTTTTGGAAGTTCTGCCTATAGCAATTAGACAAGTAAAAATAAAAGGCATCCAAAATGGAAGGAATAAGTTAACTGTTACTATTTGCCAATGACACGACACTATATATATAGAAAACCCTAACGTTTCCACCAAAAATCTTTTAGAACTAATAAATAAATTCAGTTAATTTGCAGGGTACAAAATCAATATACAGAAATCTGTTGAATTTCTGTACATTAATAATAAACTATCAGAAAGAAAAATCAAGAAACAATCTCGTTTACAATTGCATCAAAAAGAATAAAATACCTAGGAATAAATTTAACCAAGCAGGTGAAAGACCAGTACTCTGATAAACTACAAGAGACTGATGAATGACATTGAAAGTTACACAAATAAATGGAAAGATATTCCATGTTTATGGATTGGAAGAATTAATATTGTTTGAATGTCCATACTACCCAAGGCAATCTGCAGATTCAAGAAAATCTCTACCAAACTACCAGTGTCATTTTTCACAGAACTAGAACAAATAATCCTGAAATTTGTATGGACCCACAAAAGACTTCAAGTAGCCAAAGCAATGTTGAGAAAGAAGAACAAAGCTGGTGGTCACACTCCCTGACTTCAAACTATTCTACAAAGCTATAGTAATCAAAACAGTATGATATTGGCACAGAAACAGATACATAGATCAATGGAACTGAAAGGAGAGCCCAGAAATAAATCCACTATGGAAAACAGTACAGAATTTCTTCAAAAAATTAAAAACAGAACCATATGATTCAGCAATTCCACTCCTGGGTATTTATACAACCTCAAAGTTCTTTGCAGCATTATTTCCAATAGCCAAGAAATGGAAGCAACATAAGTGTCCATAGACAGATGAATGAACCAAGAATGTATATAGTGGAATATTACTTAGCTATAAAAAATGAAGAAACCTTGCCATATACAGCAGCATATATGGACCTAGAGGGTATTATGCTAAGTGAAATAAGTCAGACAGAGAAACACAAATATCTTTATGTTTCCACTTATACATGGAATCTACAAAAGAGAAGAAACAAATAGAACAAAACAGAAACAGACTCATAGATACAGAGAACACACTAGTGGTTGCCAGAGGGAAAAGGGTTGGGGGAATGGGCAAAATACGTGAAGGAGATTAAGAGTTACAAACCATGAGTTTTAAATAAGTCACTGGGATGTAATGTACAGCACTGGAAATACTATTATAATAACGTGTATAGTGTATAATCTATAAAAAAATCAAATCTTTCTGTTGTACACTTGAAACTACTAGAATATTACAGGTTAACCATGCTTCAATATTTTAAAAAGGCAAACTTGGCTAATTTGGTTTGCTAGAACTTTTTAAAATATTGCCTCTTATCTTCTTTCCAATACATTTGAAGTATAATTAAGAGTCATGGCTAGAGAATGCTTCTAAGTGATAAGTTCAAGGCTTAGGTGCAGGATGATATGAATCACATGTAATTAGTGCTAAGTAGATCCACATTGAGTTAAATATATCTTCTATAATTATGTTTACCTTCTCAACTTGCCTTACAAACAATCACTTACAGAAGATACCAAATTTCATAAACAGTGGAAGCCAGAAAAAATTAGCCTGCACATGTCTCAAATGGGATGTGTCCAAATTAATTAGATTTTATTGTGTGAATGTCATAGCAAGAGATTTAAAGGATGTAGGAGACATTCAGGACATTGTCTTAATCCTTTTTTAGTGGTTCAGATAATATGTCAGCCAAGTGATGGATTATTGTGCCAACACATAACACTCCCAGGAATGTATAATGCCCTTAGAATAGAATCACTTTCCTGAGAGTGAAAATGAGTCACTGATCCTACAGTTGCCAATGTTCAGAAAGTGTGCAGGGTCACTTGGGGATTGGTTTGGGGCCTAAAAGGGCCCCCAGTGACCCACAGTTGGGATTACAATATCAGGCCCACGTTTGCAGACCAGCTATATGTTGGTCAAAAATGTACTTCTTGAAAAATCTTTGTTGACTCTGATAGAATTATAAAACTGGAGTCCTGTAGAGCTGTAGCTTGTCACCCTCTCATCTATCCAACAATCAGTGGTTGAGAGCCACTTATTCTGTTCCAGGCACTATGCAGGAACCTCCATCCTAACTCTTCTTTAAGAAGGAGATATCATTACTGATACCCTCCACCCTATCCACCCCTCCCTTAGGTGGCCCTCTTCTAATATTCTGGGAGCAAGCTCCTTATGTGCTTCACATTGTTTTATTATCACTTTTCCTGAACTTCCTAAGAAGATACTAATGTGTCTCATTAAAACCCCCTTGTCTAGCTCACAGCATGTCCAAGAGCTGGTTCTATGTACATGTTTGTTGAATAAATCATACAGTTTACACTGTTGAGAAACTCAGTGTGGATAGGGAGAAATATGAACAAATAGTTACAGTACAAAGAGCAGTTCTATACAGAGAACGGAATGCTATCACTCCCACATGATAGGAGGAATAATTAACTATCTAAAACTGATGCCAAAAAAAGGGGGGGACCTTAAATATGGACTTGAAAGAACAAGAAAGAACAGGTGGAGAGTGAACTTGAGCCAGAAATGCTGACATGTACAAAGGCACAGAGTTGTGTTCATGGAGTGGTAAGTGACTTTGGAGAGCTAAAGTTTCTACAGAGGTTCTCTAACATTGGTGTACTTAAAAAATTACCTAGGGAATTTATCCTAGCCTGACTCCCAAAGATTCTGATATAGAAAATCTTAGGCCACAGGAACTTGCATTTAAAACAAAGACCCCATATATTTATACAATGGAATACTATTCAGCTATAAAAATGACAGCATAATGCCATTTGCAGCAACATGGATGTCCCTGGAGAATGTCATTCTAAGTGAAGTAAGCCAGAAAAAGAAAGAAAACTACCAGATGAGATTGCTTATATGTGGAATCGAAAGAAAGAAAGAAAGAAAGAAAGAAAGAAAGAAAGAAAGAAAGAAAGAAAGAAAGAAAGAAAGAAGAAAGAAAGAAAGAAAGAAAGAAAGAAAGAAAGAAAGAAAGAAAGAAAAAGAAAGAAAAAAAGAAAGAAAGAAAGAAAGAAAAAAAGGAAGGAAGGAAGGAAGGAGGAAAGGAGGAAAGGAAGAGGACAAATGAATATAAATACAAAACAGAAACAGACTCATAGATATAGAATACAAACTTGTGGTTACCAGAGGGGAGGCGGGTGGGAAGGGACAGACTGGGAGTTTGAAATTTGTGGATACTGACAGGCATAGAATAGATAAACAAGATTATACTGTATAGCACAGGAAATATATACAAGATCTTGTGGTAGCTCACAGTGAAAAAGAATGCGACAGTGAATATATGTATGTTCATGTATAAATGAAAAATTATGCCCTACACTGGAAATTGACACAACATTGTAAACTGACTTTAACTCAATAATTAGTTAATTAATTAATTAATAAAATAAACACCCCAGGTAATTCTGATACAGGTAGTTCCTGGACATCCCTTTGTTTAGGATCTGAGTGAAGAGGTGGTATCAGAAAGATCAGATTGTGATGCATTTTAATGCTCATATCCGTAGAATTAAATGAAAACCCATAGACCAGGAAAGCACTGGAGAATTTTGCCAGTTCAGTGTTCTCCTTGTACTAGTAGTTTAAATATAACCTTCCAGATCAGCTTAGTTTTTCCATTTATGCCGCATTCTTAGTATTTTGTTCACATTATTCACATTGCTGTGAATCTCTTATTTTGACTTAATTGTTTTCAAAACTTTTAAAGCTTTTTAAAAAATGCTGCTTCATCTGGAATCTCTCACTATATATGAAAATCAGATAAAATGTAGCCACTCCGGTTGGAGGGAGATGGCCCAGCTCCCAGCAAACAGTCTGGCAGCTGAGACATTTCTTGCCAAAGTCCAGGTAGCCCATTTGGAAGGCTGTTGTTCTAGGCAAGAGAGTTAGGCAAGGATGGTACAATAATCTGAGCCCTGACTCCGTGTTCCTTCAAAAAAGAGGCACCAGTGAGCTCGTCTGATGCATATAATCAGTCCTCCCAGATATACTGTTTTGAGGGAAGGATGCCTTTGTAAAGTGTAATATCCTTAGCTTAGATGGTCTGTCTCTTTGTGAAAGAAGATACCTGGGGTTGGGGCTGGGAGGTCGAGGTAGAGGAATTGTGCCCAGGAGAAACTTCATTATAGAGAGTAATGAAAGGCAACTGAGTTTTTCCTTTGTCCCCCAGGGATGTACACTTTGGAGGATGTTGGAATGTCACAGAGTGACACTGGTGGAATAGGAGACGTGAATTTTCCTCTTCAGCTTGAATCACCTAAGGATAGATGTGAATAAAATCTGCATTTGGTACATGAATGGAAAATAACTCTTCCCAAAAGTTTTCTACAGCTGATTGTTGTTCTGGGTAAGGAGGGAAACAAGGCATTGCTGGTTCATTAAAGAATCAGTGAGATGAGTTTGGTCTGCATTATCTGATGCTTTTTTGCTGTCAAAATAAGTTTGGAAATTCTGCTATGTAGTGACTCAGGTCTAAATTCTTGTCTGTATCTGTATATGAAATCAGTTATGCAGGATCTATTTGTGAACACAGGAGAAGGAGTGAAGAGTGAGTCCATTTCATTATTTTTTTAATCATGAAAGTAAACAGAGAATCAAAGGGCGGAGAGATAAGCAATAGAAAGGAAAATCTGAAATAATGTCATCAACAAAAAGTGAGAATTCAGATGCTTGAAGAAGTCTGGTCAATAATTTTTTTCCTATTGAGTAACATAAGATGATGCCTGGATTCCCGGGGGAGGGCAATGATCTGGGACTCTTATTGGTCACTTATAGACTCAGGGTGAGGGTCTCAGGGACAATGTGGGAGAAAGTCAGAGACTGGACACACAACTATTAAGACAAATTTGAGTAACTTCACCCAGGATTCTGGGTCCTAGTGCCTTGAAGAAAAGAAGCTCCTGATTCTGTGAGAATGTTGATGAGGCTGTGGGTATGGGATGATGAGTTCAGCAACAAGGGTCCATAGCAGCTGGGGCAGCAGCAGGTGGTGTGGTAGCAGGTGACCTGGCAGCAGCTGGGGCAACAACAACCAGGGTGGCAGCAACTGGACATACCACATCAGGGTTGCCAGCATTTCCAACTTAACTTCCTTTACTTTTCTTCCCATAGGCAGTATGTTCGACCCATCACACCTCCTTATTTTCTACTGCATCTGTAGGTTGACCCTTAAACCCCTGGCTTTTGTGTTCTCATAGACCCACTCCATGAATGATCTTGACATACTTCTACTCCGTAAATGGTGGTAATGTTTTCTTGGTACTTTCAAAATCTAGATTGCCTTCATAAGAATATAAACACGCTGCTTTCATCTGAGCCTCTCCTTCGCTTTGTCTTGTCTTACGTTGTTGCCAACGGTACACCCTCCCTTGAATTTCAAGACTTGACACATCTTATTTCAAGGAATCAAGCTTTATACGTTACCCATCTCCGACGGAATGATTTCTCTTTCTCACCAATATTACCAACCTACCAGGCATATGTCTTCCTATTAAATCCAAAATTTCATTGTGAGTTACATGGTGATGAGAACTAAGTCTCATTCAACTGACGTGCTTCCCAGCACCCAGCAGTACAAGGACCTTGCTAGGTGGTCCATAGTCCAGTTGTAGTAAAAAGGAAATTCTTGTTTTCTCTCAACAAACTTGATGGCAGGTAAGGTGGGCAATCTGCTTTGGGGGAAAAATCATCATTTGGCCTTTTCTCTCATATAGGCTTTGATTGATAAGCAAAATCAGTTTTCTTTGTTCACATGACAGAAACACAAACGTATCTCCAGTTCATAATCAGCACTAAAAAATAATTAAGAGCCACAAGTGTTCCTGATACCAAGTATTTATTGAGACATAATTATCCTAACACACGTAAGTCATCATGAAGGCCAAGCCATGTGCAGCAATCATAGGATTAGGAGCCTGTCCCTATGAACTAGGGTAGACGTTTGGTCATCTGACCGAATGCCACGGTAATAGGCACAGAATTTGGAGGTTCTGTGTGGTATTTAGTTTAAATTGTCGCTTCTTAAACAGTTGCTTGGCGGCATAGCCAATGGGATGAATAAACATAGTGACAGATGAAAACAAGGCCAGGTGCTATGGACAAAGGAAATGAGAACAAGACTGATACACTGGGATGATGGTGATTGGCTCAGGGCTGGTGGTGAGGAATGAAGTTCAGCAAAAAGAGGATCCTCAGCAGATGGGCCGGCAGCAGATGGGGCGGCAGCAGATAGGGCGGCAGCAGATGGGGCGACAGCGGGTGGTACGGCAGCAGGTGGTCTGGCAGCATCTGGGGCGGCAGAAGCTGGACACACAGCATCTGGGGCGGCAGCACGTGGTCTGGTAGCAGCTGGGACGACAGCAGCTAGAGATGCAGCAGGTGGGCCTGCAGCAGCTGGAACCACACCTGGAACCACAGTGGAAAGGGCGGCAGCAACTGGAAATGCAGTATCTGGGGCGGCAGCAGGTGGGCTGGCAGCACACAGACTGGCAGCACTGGGGTCTGCAGCAGATGGACTCACAACATCTGGGGCGGTAGCAGGTGGTCCTACAGCAGGTGGTCTGGCAGCAGCTGGGGCGGCAGCAGGTCTCCTGACAGAGGCCTTGACCACAGCCCTGGTCAGAGCAGACGGAGCCACAGCAGGAGCTGACCATGGTGTCAGAGGGTGGAGGTTCTGGGTGGGTTTCCAGGAGAGTGAGTTTCCTGAGTCTCCTTGCTCTATGTCCCCTTTTATACCCTGTTGAAGGAGCTTCTTCCTTGTTATTGTTTATCCTACTAGGAAAGCAATTATTAAATTACATAATTGTAGACATTTTTCTTGCAAATTAGATAGAAGGCATTTTTCATTTCTATGATATAACTTTACTGTAATTTTTTTTTCCAAATCAACTCTTGTGTTTCTTCCTTGTTTATGTCATCTAATATTTAAGACTGCAGCTGTCCCTTCCAATTAGCTGTCATGGGACTGACCATTTGTTACTAGGTATTCCTCTCTTCCTCTTTCAACCATGATTCAACCTAAGCCTAAACTGTGAGTCTCATGAGTTCAGGGCATAGAGCAGATGGGAGCATGCAGGGAAGAGTCAACGGGAATGAAATAATTCCCAGTTTAGACCAATGGAAGGAGCCCTTGTGGAGGGGAGGAGAAGGTCCCACACTGTGAATAACTCGAGCAATGAGAAAGGATGTGGCTCCAGGTGTTGGCGGGTGACCAGCAAGCTGGGGAAAGAAATCGCAAGCAATGTATTTTGGCATATTTCCTCATGTTATTAACTGGTTCTGACTGGCAGTATCAGTCTATTTAGGAATCAAAGTTGCATATGCAATCATCATGTCTCTTCTTTCTAAAATAATGAAGTAACAGAATTTCCAGTAGTGCAGCCTAGAAATCTATATTTTTCAAAAGCTGCTTAGGATGTTCTGGGAAGGTGCCCAGAGAGTCCAGGACCACGGCCATCTCTCCCAACTTTTGTTGGTAGATTTCTGTTCGTAAGCATAAAGCCTAAAGTCAAATACACCGAGACTTCATCTTCTCAAAAAGATTGGAACAGGAGTAGGGCTCTGTAAAATATGACATCATAGGCCAAGGTTTTTAATAACAAGATGGGAAAGACCAAGAGTTTAGGGACTTGGGAGCAAAGATGAATCAAACACAACTCACCTTGCAGCTGGATGATGGTGGCTACTTTCCTGAGCCATATGGAGACTCCAGATATGAGGAGTAGTTGTGCAGTTCTGGGAAGTTCGCTGATTTAGTGTGCCCCTAATAGGAGAAAACTACTCTTTCACCGAGTTACAGAAGAACTGATAATACTTAGGACCTCCCTAATCACACTCAGTCAAGCCTACTTGCTCTTTGTGAAGATGGTCTCATCACCCACATCCCATCTCACAGAGAAGAGCTTCCACACTGGGAGGGCTAAGCTGAGATGATGAGAGGGAGCCCACCTAGCAGTGTGAGGGGGTCACTTTGGCAAAAGTGAGTCCCTTCCCTAGTCCCAGTGCACTGGCACAGAGACTCTGCCCAGATGGAAGGGCAGGTCTTAAGGACTAATCATGTTTCAGCTCTACCTGAGAAGATTGGCTTTATTTGGAGCAGAGCTTGGAGAACTCTATGCCCAAGGGTATTGTCAAAAACAGTGGAGATCTTGGTGGAGAGTGAAAATAAGGCTGGCAACTACTTGGTACAAGCAAATGGCAGAGTAGCTAAAAGTTTATTAGAGCTAATCAGAGGGAAAGGCAGCCAAAGAAGAGGACTCCCAGGATCATAGCCAACTCTGTTGGTCAGGAAGGCTGTGCCGGATAATTGTATATAATTGCATATTTCTTCTGATTTCTTCTCTAAACTAATTTAAAAGCAATTGCATAAGACAACATACAAAATAATTGTGCCTATAACAACAGGATATGTAACACATTTGACAATACCAGCACAGAGGAAGCAGATGGAGCAAAGCTGTATTGGGGAAAAGTGACATCAGATGGTAACTTGAATCTTTGAGAAGAAATGAAGAGAACCAGAAAGGTTAAATAATATGATTAACTAAGTTTAGTAACACTGTATTGTGGATTTGAATGTTGCTAAGAGAGTATATCTTAAAATTTCTCCCCAAAAAAGTTACTATAAGTCCACAAATATATACTTGCTCTTCTTTGTTTGCTCAGCTTGTTTAAAAGGCATAACATTATATAAAGAAATGATATTAATAATGTATTGCTTGATTTGTAATATATGTATACATAATATGTGTAACAATAATAGCACAAGAAAGGAGCATGGAATGGAGTTATATAAGAAAAATTTTCTCTATTTTACTGAAACAAAATCGGTATCAATCTGAAGTACATTCTGACAAATTGGTATATATTTTAAGCCCTAGCATTTAAACACATCTAACACACACACACACACACACACACACACACTTCATTATAGTAATTAAAATGTTATATTAGAAAATAACCACTTAATACAACAGAAGGAAATAAAGAGGGGTTATAGAGAAATGGACTTATATCCAGGATATATTAAACATCCATGCAACTCAATAATTAAAAGAAAAATAACGCAGTTAAAAGTGAACTACAGATTTGATTAGACATGTGTCCAAAGATGATGCACAAATTAGCCTGTAAGTCTATGAAAAGGTGCTCAACATCATTATTCATTAGGGAAATGCAAATCAAAACCACAATGTGGTATCACTTTATGCCCACTAGGATGGCTTTAAGCTAAAAGACAGATAATAACAATTGTTGGCAAGAATGTGCAGAAATTGGAGCCCTTACACGTTGCTGATGGGATTATAAAACAGTACACTGCTTTGGAAAATAGTTTGGAAATTTCTCAGAAATTGAACCACAAAATTACCATGCATAAAGACTCAACATTTCCACCCCTGGATATATATCCAAGGGAAATGAAAACATAGTCCAATGAAAAGTTGAATACATTCATAGCAGCATTAAAAATAATATCCAAAAAGTTGAAACAATCTAAATGTCCATCAACTGAGGGATGGATAAACAAAATGTAGTGTATCCATAAGTAGAATATTATTTGTCAATAAAAAGGAATGAAGTACTGACTCATGATACGATGTAGATGAACCTCGAAAGCAATACACTAAGTATAGGAGGTCATTCACAAAAAGCTACATATTACATATTACCATGTATGTGCAAGTTCTGGAGAGGCAAATCTAGGGACTGATCAGTGGTTGCCTACAGCTGAGACAGAGCGTGGGGGGATTGAGAGTGACTGCTAAATGGGTATGAAGTTTCCTTTCTGGGCACCAAGATATTCTAAATTAGATGTAGTAATGGTTGCACAGTCCTGTTTAGATTCTAGAAACATTGAATGTATACTTTAAAGGGGTGAGTTTTTAGATTCTAGAAACATTGAATTGTATACTTTAAATGGGTGAGTTAAGTTGTTTGTGAATTACATCTCAATAAAATTCTTTAAAAAGTAAGAATAAATACATTAGGTATTAAAAATATGAAATGGAAAAAAATCTCCAAATAAAAGATGACTCAGATAAGCCCACATAAATATGCCCAATTAATTTTTTAACAAAAGAACAAGCAGACATCTGCAGGCAAAAAAAAGGAAGGAAAAAAGAGAAAACCTCAATCTAAGTCTCATATCTTATTTTTTAAAAATTAACTCAAAATTGTATCATGAACTTAAATGTAAAATGATAAAAGCTTTCAGGAGAAAACAGAGGAGAAAATCTCTGGGATCTTGGACTAGGCAAAGAGTTCTTACTATTGTCACTGAAAGTACAATCCATAAAAGGAAAAGCTGGTAAATCAAAAATTTAAAACTTTGCTCTGCAAGAGACACTGTTAAGAGGATGAAAAGACAAGCTACAGAACGGGAGAAATATTTGCAAACCACATATGTGACAAAAGACTGGTATCTAGGCTATATGATGAACTCTCAAATTCAGTAGTTAAAAAAAAAAAAAAGCAATGATCCTGGTGAGCATGGACAAAAGAAGAGACATTTCACTGAAGGAGATGTATAGATGACAAATAAGCACATGAAAAGGTGTCCAATACCATTAGCCATTGGGGAAATGCAGTTAATAGATCCATAATGAGATATCACTGTATACCCATCACAGTGACTAAAAGTAAAAATAGGCTATACCAAATGCTGGTGAGGACATGGAGAAACTGTATCACTCATACAGTGCTGATAGGAATATAAAATAATATAACCATTCTCAAAAACATTGTTTGGCAGTTTCTGAAAAAATCTAAACATGCCACTACCATATGATAAAATGAAATTTGTATTTTAAGTCAGGGCAAGAAAATTTAAGCATAAAATTCTCCCTCTCTGACTATTTGAGCCTCTCCCCTCCCCCCTTACTGTGCAATATGCATCTGCATTAACCAGACCTCCTCAAGGTGGGAATGCCTCCTCAACCAGCCTCAAAGATCACACTAGCAAGGTAGCTTCTTAAAAGCTCTGTAGGGGATCGTGGTGACTGGCTGCTCTCTTTCTATGTGCTTATCTGAACTGTATCTCTTTGGTGAAGTTTATGTAAAATGTCAGTGTGTCATTTTGATGTATGATCCTTTGTCTCGAAAATACATAAAACTGTGCTTTCAACTTCTAACAGGTGGAACAATTCTCAGAGCTTCTGTCTCCCACATTAAAATCCTCAGTTTGGCTGGAATAAAATTCTCTTTTTACTTCTTAACTTGATTGCTAATTGAATTTTCATCAACACATTTATACCAGAGAAATGAAGACTTTTGTTCACATAATAATAAGTTCACACATTGTGTTCATGAATGTTTACCGCAATTTTAATCAAAATAGCCAAAGATTGAAAACAACCCGGATGTTCTTCAGTGGGTGAGTGTCTGAGCAAGTGGCCACGCTCATCCTATCAAAACTTCTCAGCAATAGAAGAGAAGGAACTATCAATATGCTCAACAACCTGGATGACTCAACAGAAAATTATTTTGAGTGAAAAATGGCAATCCCGAAAAGTTACATACCCTATGTTTTCATTGATGTGAACTTCTCAAAATGGCCAAAGTATAGAAACATAGAACACATCAGTGGTTGCTAAAGATTAAGGAGGAGGTAGGGGTGAGAGGGAAATGGGTGTGGCTATAAAATGACATCACTGGCAATCTTTGTGGGGCCGGAAATGTTCTGTATCTTTATGGATGCAATTGACACAAAGAGTAATGGAATGAAAATAAAAAATAAATGAAACAACAGAGATTTTTTATCTGCTATGTTAGAAATAAAGGAACAATATCACAATCTCCTGAGTTTGCTTTAACAGATTTCTCAGTCATTACTCAAAACAGACATGTGTGCGTTGTCACATGTGTTAATAAGAGAAGAATGCTGCAATGAGAATCTTAATGAGAGCAATGGTTGTCTTCAGATAAATCACTAATAATAAAATCCTGAGTTTAAGGGTGTGATTTTATTTATGATACTAATGCCACATTGCTCTATTAATACCTGAAAGTGATGTTTAATTTTTCATTTTTTTTCCTTTTTCAACTATACCTTGTTTAGAACCAATATCCCCCATCCTTGGGCCCATTGATATTATTTGGTTATGAAATGGAAATTCCCTCAAAGACAAAGGAAGTTACCATTTGGTAGTTGCTTAAAGAACAGAGATGAAACAGTCAGATAGATCGCATCCTTAGTGCCAGAAAACATTGGGTGAGACCATGAATCTGAAACACGCTTGCCATGGTTGAGAGGCCAATGAAAACACTGCAACTTGGATGGAGTGGAGCTGGAATGGAGAATATGTCTTGACAATTTTCTTTGCCCATCACAGACAAATTTTGACAGTTCTAAGTATAAACACATTACGATGGCAATCAAGTCCGTCAACATTAGAAGTTGACCAGTAATTCTAGCCTTAACTTCCTCCTGTCCTGCCCGTGAGCTGCATGCTCACTGATCACTCTTGGTAGTTTTCTACAGCATCCGTGCTTCAACTTGAAGTGCCTGGCATGCTGTTTATTGCACTCCTGTTCATATTTTATGATCCCTCATTATTATGATCATCACTAAAAAGGCTATGATTTCTCCATTTTAGAATGTCTATAATGTTTTCTTGGTTCCTTTCTTACGCTAATTGCTTTATTCTGTTGTCTCATTTCTTTTGCTCCTACTCAAGTAACTTTCTTTTCATGTGGAAGTGGCATCAGACAGGACAGGTACAGCAATGTGACTGCAGGAGACATTTGGTTTGTTTACCTGAATGTGACCAAGTTTGCCCGAGGTAAAAGAGATCCGCTGTATCTAAGAAAATCCCAAGAAGTGCAGGCTCAGTGCAAGCTTTCAAGCACAACCTAAGTTCTTTCTTTGATGACCTCATCTTTGTCCCCCATTCAGACCCTTCCCCAACTCACCCCTGGAACTTCCCCAAAGGGGTGCTTACTTATCCACAGATGCTCCACCTCTGACTGATGGCCTTCTCATTTGCTTATGACTTTTTCGATATGGCGTCACTAACAAGAAGGAGGTTAGGGGACTCTAGTGAGGTTCAGTCTTTGCCACATTTGGTCAATGACAACTGATTCTTTGGTTCATGCCACTAATGTCATCAAAAGAATGTAAACATTTTCTTGTCTCCACCTCCTTTTTATCTTGTGGCTTCATGACTTGCAGATTTCCCCTAAGTGTATTGACTTAATTCATCTATCAAAATTATTCCTTCTATATTACCCTTCTCCAAGATAGAAATTTCACCCTTTTGATCAATATCACCCAACGTGTTCTACCTGTCTTGGAAGATTCTCTTATCTCCAAGACTGGCTTGTGAGCTCCTGGCAGGAAACAATTGTGCCTCACGTAGGTTGAAATGCTCCCCAAAGCCCAATGGTGCAATGAACATGCCAGGTGATTAATCATTTTACAGACTGGATAAAAAAACCATTGTTTATTAGGTAAGGTGGGTTATCTTATTTTGAAAAAACATACATATACAAAGTCCTTTCTATAATATAAGCATTAGGTAATATTTGAAAAATCTGTTTTCTTTCCTGGCCACAGAAATCCACACTTTTCTTTATCTTGAGAGAAAGAATGCTAGAAAATAAACTGAAAATCAACTCTCAGAAATAAGTAAAGAAGGATACACAAATTTATGATATCAAGATAGTATTATTGAGAAATAGTTAACATGCAGTTATGAAGGTCAAGGCAAGTGTAACAGCCAGAGACTTGGGGGTTTGATCCAACAGCATAGGGCATGTGAGGTTGAATGCAGGAAAGAGATTTCTGGGAAGCAGGGGTGGTACTGAACGCAGATGGAGGCTCTTTCTCCAGTGCCTTGGTAGTGTCACAGGATAATAAACTTGGTGGTCATTTAAAACATGGAAAAGTTAGAATGAATGACACTTTCACACTGATGTGATGGTGGCTGGCTCATGGTTGATAGTCAGATATGAGTTCAGCAGGAGGATCTACCACAGCTGGAGTGGCAGCAAGTTGTACGGTGGCAGGTGGTCTGGCAGCAGACGGGGCGGCAGCAGATGGACACACCACAGCTGGGGCGGCAGGTGGTCTGGCAGCAGACGGGGCGGCAGCAGCTGGACACACCACAGCT